ATTTGCACTGTTATCAGTATTTGCACACTATTTTATATTATTTTTTGACAATCTTTAAAGTCATTATTCAATACATTGTTATTGTTAAATAAATATCGTCAAATAATCGAGATCTCAATTTCAGTGAAAATAATCGTAATTATCATTTTTGCCATAATCGAGCAGCCCTACTGGAGAGACTAGTAGTATGACCTGCTCTGCCACTAAAGTATACCTGGACAGAAAAACAAGATGAAACACAATTAACACAGTCATGGACAAGCACCCCAGAACCCAGACTTCAACATTATTGAAGCATTGTGGGATCATCTGGACAAAAAACAAGAAGAAAACCAGCCAAAATCCCAAGAAGGGCCTTGGATTTCCTTCAAGAAGCCCGGAGAACTATTCCTGAAGACTACTTAAAGAAGATCTAAGAAAGCATGCCTAAGAAAGTTCAGGCTGTACTGGAGAATAAAGGTGCTCAAACACTTCCTTTAAAACTTATTTGAATGGTTCACACTGTTATTGCCTTACATACTATATTTCTATGTAAGTTTGCACATGTTTCAGTAAATCACTGCATCAATTTTCGTAGAAAAATATAAATAAATGAGTGGTGATTCAAGACTTTTGCATGGTACTGTATAAACTCAAGTTTTTATATTTAAAGTCTAATGAGGACCTAGAAGAAAAATGTAATGTCTACCAGTATCTAGATGTATGGCTGAAGGTAGTCCCAGATTGAACAATGTAGGAAGGCTCAGTCAGTCATTGTGGTCATTATCTCACCTACAAAGATATCCCTTAAAGTAATAAATTATACAGTCACATGACAAAGAACGTTTTCACTGGACTCTATGCAGACTTGTGAAAAACAAAGTACACTCTCATCTTGATGCATTCTCAATCATCCAGGTAAGTAAATCTCCAAAGGTTGATTCTGTTCATCTGGACATAGCGTTTTCAGTGGGAGAAACGTTTCGTCACTCATCAAAGTGACTTCTTCAGTCTCAGCTGGCTGCAGGTTTCCCCACTGCTTTCACAGGAATCAAGAAGACAAGTAGCAGCCAGCTTATACCAAAGCATTCTCGAGTCAAATGTGAGGCCATCAGTCTGACAGCTAAAGCTTGGTTGAAATCAGGTCGTGCAACAGGACGATGCCAAGTGCACCAGCAAATCTACAACAGAATGGCTGGAAAATAAAAGTATCTAGGTGTGGCAATGACCCAGCCGAAGTCCAGACTTCAGCCTGATTGAAATACTGTGGTGGGACCTTAAGACAGCTGTGCATAAACAAATGCCTGCAAACCTCAATAAAATGAA